TGCATCCTTAGGGTAAATTCCTAGAAGTGGAATTCGTGGGTCAAATGGTATTTCTATTTTAAGCATTTTGAAGAACCTCCATACTGCTTTCCACAATGGTGGAACTAATTTACATTCCCATGAGCAGTGTAGGAGGATTCCCCATTCTCCACAACCTCACCAACATCTGTTGTTGTTTGTCTTTTCAATGCTGGACATCCTTACTGGTGTGAGGTGGTATCTCACTGTGGTTTTAATTTGCATTTCTCTGATGACTAGCGATGTGGAGCATCTTTTCATGTGTCTGTTGGCCATCTGAATTTCTTCTTTGGAGAAGTGTCTGCTCTTTTCCCCATTGTGTATCCCTGGCTCCTTTATCATACATTAATTGACCATATATGCTTGGGTTTATATCTGGGCTCACCATTCTGTTCCATTGATCTATGGGTCTCTTCTTGTCCTAGTACCAAATTGTTCTGATTACTGTGGCTTTGTAGTAGAGTTTGAAGTCAGGGAGCATAATTCCCCCTGCTTTATTTCTACTTCTCAGGATTGCTTTGGCTATTCGGGGTCTTTTGTGGTACCATATAACTTTTGGAACTATTTCCTCTAGTTCATTGAAGAATGCTGTTGGTATTTTGATAGGAATTGCATTGAATCTGTAGATTGCTTTAGGCAAAATGGCCATTTTGACAACTATATTAATTCTTCCTATCCATGAGCACAGGATGTGTTTCTATTTATTGGTTTCTTCTTTATTTTCTCTCATGAGTGTCTTGTAGTTTTCAGAGTCTAAGTCCTTCACTTCCTTGGTTAGGTCATGTACAAGCTTTTGTGTGGTTGTATGTTTTCATATCTCTTGTGTAGATACCTAAGACTGGAATTGCTGGGTCACATGATTTTACCATTTGAGGAACTGCCAGACTGTTTTCCAAACTAGCTCCACTCTTTTAAATTTCACCAGCTATATATGAAGGTTCAGATTTATCCATATCCTTGACAACACTTGAGTGATTATATCCATACTAGTGAGTGTGAAGTGATATCTCATAGTTTTAATTGCATTTTCCTGGTGGCTAATGATGTTGAACATCTTTTCATGTGTTTATTGATGTTTTGTGTGTCTTCTTTGGAGAGTTGTCTATTCAGATCCTTTGCCCATTTTTAAGTGCAATATTTGTCCTTTATTATTGAGTTGTGAGAGTTCTTTATGTATTTTGGATTCAAGCCCTTTACCAGTTATTTGCTTTGCAAATATATTCTTTCAGTCTGTGGGTTGTCTTTTCACTTTCTTGATGGTATCCTCCGAAGCACAAAAGTTACTAATTTTGATGAAGTTGAATATATCTTTCTTTGCATCATTTGTGATTTTGGGATATGTTAAGAAACTCCTGCCTAAATTAAGGTCACAGAGGTTTTACCCCTGTTTTCTTCCAAGAATTACATAGTATTAATTCTTAGTTTCAGGCACATGGCCCATTTTGAGTTAATTTTTTGAGTGTGTTGTAAAATAGGAGTTCAAAATCATTTTGTTGATGCAGCACCATTTATTGGAAAAACTTTTCCCCTATTAAATTGTCTTGGCACTCCTCTTGAAAATCAGTAGACCATCCATGCCATGGCAATCAGACAACAGAAAGAAAGAAAGGGCATCCAGATTGGTAAAGAAGAAGTTAAACTGTCACTGTTTGCAGATGACATGATATTGTACATAAAAACCCTAAAGAATCCACTCCAAAACTACTAGATCTAATATCTGAATTCAGCAAAGTTGCAGGATACAAAATAAATACACAGAAATCTGTGGCATTCCTATACACCAACAATGAACTAGCAGAAAGAGAACTGAGGAAAACAATTCCATTCATATTTACATCGAAAAGAATAAAATACCTAGGAATAAACCTAACCAAGTAAGTGAAAGACCTATACTCTGAAAACTACAAGACACTCATGAGAGAAATTAAAGAAGATACCAGTAAATGGAAACACCTCCCATGCTCATGGATAGGAAGAATTAATGTTGTCAAAATGGCCATCCTGCCTAAAGCAATCTACAGATTCAATGCAATGCCTATCAGAATACCAACAGCATTCTTCAATGAACTAGAGCAAATCATTCTAAAATTCATATGGCACCATGAAAGACCCCAAATAGCCAAAGCAATCCTGAGAAGGAAGAATAAAGCTGGGGGGATTATGCCCCCTAACTTCAAGCTTTACTACAAAGCCACAGTAATCAAGACAGTTTGGTACTGGCACAAGAACAGACCCACAGATCAATGGAACAGAATAGAGAGCCCAGTTATAAACTCAAACATATATGGTCAATTAATATACAATAAAGAAGCTATGGACAAACAATGGGGAAATGACAGCCTCTTCAATAACTGGTGTTGGCAAAACTGGACAGCTACATGCAAGAGAATGAAACTGGATTATTGTCTAACCCCATATACAAAAATAAACTCGAAATGGATCAAAGACCTGAATGTAAGTCATGAAACCATAAAACTCTTAGAAGACAACATAGGCAAAATTCTCCTGAATATAAACATGAGTAACTTCTTCCTAAATGCATCTCCTTGAGCAAGGGAAACAAAAGCAATGTGAACACATGGGACTATATCAAACTAAAAAGCTTCCGTATGGCCAAGGACACCATCAACAGAACAAAAAGGCATCCTACAGTATGGGAGAATAAAATTGTAAACAACATAACCGACAAGGGGTTAACATCCAAAATATATAACGGACTCATGCCTCAGCACCCAGAAAGCAAATAACTCAATTAAAAAATGGGCAGAGGATATGAAGAGACACTTTTCCAAAGAAGTAATTCAGATGGCCAACAGGCACATGAAAAGATGCTCCACATCACTAATTATCAGGGAAATGCAAATAAAAACCACAATGAGATTAACACCTCACACCAGTAAGGATGGCCAGCATCGAAAAGACTAAGAACTGCAAATGCTGGCAAGGATGTGGAGAAAGGAGAACCCTTCTGCACTGCTGGTGGGAATGTAAATTAGTTCAACCATTGTGGAAAGCAGTATGGAGGTTCCTCAAAAAACTAAAAATAGAAATACCATTTGATCCAGGAATTCCAGTCCTAGGAATTTACCCAAAGAATACAAGTTCTCAGATTCAAAAAGACATATGCACCCCTATGTTTATCGCAGCACTATTGACAGTAGCCAAGAAATGGAAGCAACCTAAGTGTCCATCAGTAGATGAATGGATAAAGAAGATGTGGTACATATACAGAATGGAATATTATTCAGCCATAAGAAAGATACAGGTCCTACCATTTGCAACAACATGGATGGAGCTGGAGGATATTATGCTCAGTGAAATAAGCCAGGCAGAGAAAGACAAGTGCCAAATGATTTCCCTCATTTGTGGAGTATAACAACGAAGTAAAACTGAAGAAACGAAACAGCAGCCTACAGACTCCAAGAAGGGACTAGTGGTTACCAAAGGGGAGGGGTGTGGGAGGCGGGTGTGGAGGGAGGGAGGGAGAAGGGGATTGAGGGGTATTATGCTTAGTATACATGGTGTGGGGGGGGTTACGGGGAAGACAGTGTAGCACAGAGAAGGCAAATAGTGAATCTGTGGCATCTTATTACACTAATGGACAGTGATTGCAATGGGGTATGGGGGAGGACTTGATAATTATGGTGAGTGTAGTAACCACATTGTTTTTTCATGTGAAACCTTTCTAAGAGTGTATATCAATAATACCTTAATAAAAAAAATCAGTGGACCATAGACACATAATATTTTTTCTGAACTCTTGATTCTGTTCCTCCTTCTATATATCTGTTCTTCGCCTGTACCACACAGTCTTGATTACTGTTGCTTTGTAGTAAGTTTTGAAATCAGAAAGTGTGAGTCTACCAACTTTATTATTATTTTTTCAGGACTGTTTTATGGGTCCCTTGCATTTCCATATGAATTTTAGGATCAACTTGTCCATTTTCACAAAAACCAGCTGGGATTCTGACAAGAATTGTGCTGATGCTATAGATCAATTTAGGGAGTACTACTGTCCAACAACATTAAGTCTTCCAATCTGAACATGAGGTGTCTTTCTCATTATTTAGATCTTATTTAATTTCTTTCAACAGTATTGTAAGGGTTTTTTTTTATACTTTTTGGTGCACAAGTCTTGTACATCTTCTGTTTAATTTGTTTTTAATGTATTTTACATGTTTTGATTCTGTTAACAGGATATTGCTTTCTTAATTTCATTTTTGGATTGTTTATTGAAAGTGTGTAGAAATACACTTTGTATATTGATCTTGTATCTTGCAATCTTGTTGAAGTCTTGTTCTTTCTGCTAGTTTTTATGGCTTGACTTTGCATTAAGTAATGGGACTTAATAATGTATACTTTGCTTTTTATTATGTTAAAAGCTATTTATTTTTAAATGCACATAAGCATTTCTTTCATTAAAAGTTTCCACTTTCCTTTTTTTAAGATTGTAGTGATGATACTTTCTGTGAATGATAGACTCTTGTAAATGATGTTAATAATTCCAGGGTATTTTCTATAAATTTTAGAAAGCTGCTGAATTATAAATTAATGACAAGTAGATTTGTATTTCTCTGTGCTGCCTTCCTTGAACAAAAAAATTTTTTTTGGTATATACTTATTTTATTTTATAATTTTTTTAAGGTGTTAATATATTTAAGGAGTACAAATTGGGACACTCGGATTGCAGCAGGACAAGCTGTTGAAGCTATAGTGAAGAATGTTCCTGAATGGAATCCAGTGCCAAGAACCAAACAAGGTGCCTTTAAGTTGGAAAAGTAGTTTGCAGGAAAATTCAAAAGCATAATTAACTATATTATACATTTTCTATTTTAATAATTTCAATTTTAATTTAAAGGCTTACTTTTCATGCTTTTCAATGCAGCCTTGTCAGGAAACAATATTGAATAAAGTGATTTTCACCTTGCTTTTAAAAAACTAAATAATATTTTCATTTGTATATTTTTTTGATTATTCATTATTCAGTATGCTTGATTAACAGAGATTATTACTTCCCTCAAGGAATTTGTCCTAAATAAAAAGTAAAGTAAATCAATATAGTATAAATATTTGAAATACTTTATTTTTTCTTGTTGCTGGGAGAACTGTATAATTACTTTCTAAATTTTAGCACAATTATGTATGAATATTTGGAGGGGTAAGTCTTTAGTTTTTATGTGTCCTGTAGGTTGAAATTATTTTTCTGATTGCTTGTAATGATATTTAAAAATGAATATGTGCTTTTAAGAATGTGTGAACATGTACATTTTAATTAAGTGAAAATTTAACATGGTGTGACTAGATTTCATTTTCAAGTCCCTTTGATAACATTATTTTTATCCTAAGCCGTAGCTTGTCTAATATTTTGACTCTAATTTGCTGGCATCTGTTATTTTCAGTGACTGTGTTAACTTGTCTTTTCTCATTGAAATATAACATATAACCCAGAAGAAGTTATAACTTTCTTTAAAAGAGGGCTTTTTCTTTTACATTGTATTATCCATGCTTGTTTTGGTATATAGAGATATTAGATTCTTTTTTACAAAACTTACTAAGTTAGTTACACTAGCATTAAAATTTATAGTAAGCTTGTTTATCATCACTAGAAAACTAAACAGCAATTCCCTTTAAGTCAATTATACTTTAGTTTACAGATGAATTAATTATATGTAAATGTCAGCCAAACAAACCATCAAGTCAGTGAACAATTACAATATATTTTTAAGTTTTGGGTGGAATAAGGAACATTTTATAGACCTTTTAGGCCTCAGATGAAAATACAATTTTAGCAATTTATCAGGAGATTACAACTTGCTTTTATTATTAGAGTGAGTCCTGTAAAATGAGTAAATGCTTTTTTTGTGTCCTAGATATTCCTCAGATATAGGGAGGGATGATGCTTATTAGTCTTATTTATGAATATAGTCTGTGACTGTGTTTATCTTTCAGTTTAATACTATAATGATCTCATGCTGTTACCTTGGTATTTTTAAATTAACAGTAAGTGAAGACAGCATGATACTTAATATATGTAGTTCAACATGGAGCTACATTTCTTCATATAACATTGTGTTTTCTTAGTCAAAGACAGCAATATATTCACACCCAGTAATATTCTGATAGTTTGTGGAAAGGAAGCCACCAACTAGTTTATTCATAAATAAGAGCTGATGATAAAAAATCCGTAGTATCTTTTCTACTTTCTCCACCTTTTACTTTTCTTAAAATATTATCCACCCACCCCAAGTAATGCAATTTTTTTTCATTCCACACTTTGCCTATATGATTGAATTAAATATTTTTAAACTCATCTAGAACCTAATTCAGAAAATGCTATGGAAGATTCATCTACTACAGATCGATTGAATTTTGACAGATTTGACATATGTAGATTATTACAACATGGGGCATCACTTTTGGGATCTGCTGGTGCAGAATTTGAAGTACAAGATGAAAAATCAGGTATGTAGTAGTCCTATAGAAGAGAGTCTGAAATGTGTGTGTTCAAACTAATTTATCACTTGGTATGCTATATATCAGTCATGCAAAAATCTATTAGATGTAATGGAATGTAAATTGACAGAAATTTGCAGTTGGGGGTGGGAGGTTGCTATGGGTGGGGAAGGCAACCAGAAGTACTTGTTCTAAAGCTACCACATAAATTATCTTTCTTCCCTTAAGTGAACACATATTATGTATATGCATCAATAGATACTTATTAATATTTTAGCAGCCATTTTACTAGGTAATACAGAAATTATAAAGTGTTACTCAAGACCCTGAATTGAATAGATTTAAAGAGCCAGATTAATACAGATTGTGGTAATGGTTTCATAGTTCTGGAAATTTGAGAGGCTTTATGATAGTTTTTATTGTAAGTTTTAAATATTTAAATAATTGGATGTACTCATGCTGGTGACCAAAGCAAAACCTAAAAATGAAAAATAAATCTTGGATAGGTTATTGTCCCATTATCTTTAAACTTATAGAGTCCATCTGGATATAAAATAAATGTTTTGGCCATTCAAGATTGATATCTTGAGTTGAAAAAACCTTGATATTTTTAATAGATTTCTGTAAGTAAGTTGCTATTTTGACTAAAACCAAAACCAATGATTGCTGCTAATAATCATTAGTCAAGGCATACCTTTCTAGCTAAATTAATGAAATGATCTTCAATGTTCATCTTTAAAAAATGTCAAATACCCATTAACTCTTATTTAATATGGTTTCTATTGAAAGATCTGGCTTGTTTTGAGAGACAAGAGGAGAGTTGCAGAAAATCATAGTTTTTCTAATAAGGGAAGTAAAGTCATTTCAACAACTTTCCAGTTTGAGAAAGTGCTTCGGAGGATACCATCAAGAAAGTGAACTAAACACTTAGTTCATTAATCTTAACTAGTATACCAGTGGACATCATTGGAGGTCATTGGCCCTTAATCCAGGAGTAATGGTGAATGTCACCTTTGTCACTTGAAAAAAAAAAACACATGTATTTGGATCTTATCCTAGAGACTGTGATTTAATAGATCTGTGGAAAGTTCTAAGAAATTAAAGAAAAACTCCTGAGGTGACTGATATTTAACCAGGATTGGGAGCCCCAGTTTCTTGGGAACTCAGTTTTTAATGCTGTTAAGTGACAGCATGCTGAACAGTGCTCATTTTAAAACCCTATAATTAGGTTTTCTTTAAATGTCTGTTCATCTGCATTTGTCTCCTCATGTATGAAAGACACATATGTGATTAGTGTAGGTGCTGGTCTGAGTGTCCTTTGCAATTGTATGTGTTATTTTTCCCAGTAGGACTTTCCCTGGAACGAGAAACTAATTCTGGGCCCTGTATAAGTGTACTAGACTTATTACGTAGCAGTCTTCACTTTTGGATGTATTTTTCCCTCTTAGTAGAGCAGCCTTATGTTTTTTAAGAAACAGCTGTGTGAGATATAATTCATATACCATATAATTCACCCACTTTTAAAGTTTACAATTCAGTGTTTTTTTAGTATATCACATATGTGCAGTCAATTTAGAATTATCTTTATTACCTCAAGAAGAAACCCTGTGTTCCTTTAGTTATCACCCTTCTGCTTCTGTCTCCCAGATTTCTTTCCTTTCCCTTCCAGCCCTCGGCAACTTTCTGTCTCTGTCTCTATAGATTTGTTCATTCTGGACATTTCATATAAATGGAATCCTACAATTATGTGATCTTTTGTGACTGGCTTCTTTTACTTAGCAGAATGTTTCCATACTGTCATGTATATCAATGCTTATGTCATTTTTTCCCCTCAAAATAGTTTGTATTACTGTTACAGGATATATTCATTTTTTAATTGTGGTAGAATATATATAACATAAAAGTAACCATCTTAACCCTTTTTTTTTTTTTGAGAGAGCATCTCTCATATTTATTGATCAAATGGTTGTTAACAACAATAAAATTCTGTATAGGGACTCAATGCACAATTATTAATCAACCCCAAGCCTAATTCTCAACAGTCTCCAATCTTCTGAAGCATAACGAACAAGTTCTTACATGGTGAACAAGTTCTTACATAGTGAATAAGTTCTTACGCCTTAACCATTTTTAAGTGTATAGTTCAGTAATGTGCTATTAATCTCCAGAATTTTTCATCTTACAAGACTGAAACTTTATACAGTAGTCCTTCCTTATTCTCGGGGGATACTTCCCAAGACTTTCAGTGGATGCCTGAAACCATAGGTAGTACTGACCCCTATATATGATATGTTTTTTGTATATGTATAAAACTATAAAATTTAAATTATAAATTAGACACAGATTAACATATTTATAGCATAACACATGATGTGTAATAAAGGTTATGTGAACGTGGTGTGTGTGTATCCCTTTCACAGTATCTTATTGTACTGTACTCACCTTTGTGATGATGTGAGATGATAAAATGCCTATGTGATGAGATGAAGTGAGGTGAATGATGTAGGCATTGTGATGCAGCTAGGCCATGATTATGTTAGGAGGAGGATCATCTGCTTCCAGACCAGGGTTGACCATGGGTAACTGAAAATGGAAAGTGAAACTACAGATTAGGGGGGACTTCTCTACCCATTAGACAGTTTCCATTCCTGTCCTCCTGTGTGCCTGGCAACCACTGTTCTACCTTTCTCTCTATGAATTTGACTACTCTAGGTACTTCATATAAGTGGAATCATACAGTATTTCTCCTATTGTGACCAGTTTATGTCATTCAACATAATCTCAGGGTTCATCCATGTTATAGTAGTGTCAGAATTTCCTTCTTAAATTAAGGCTGAATAATATTCCAGTATGTGTTTATACTGTACTTTGTCTATCCATTTATCCATCAGTGGACATCTGGGTTGCTTCTACCTTTTGGTTATTGTGAATAATGCTGCTGTGAACATGGGTATACAAATATTTGTTTGAACTCCTGCTTTCTTTTTTTGAGGGGGGGGTATACCCAGAAGTGGATTACTGGATCATATGGTAATTTTATTTTAGGACTCTTACAACATTTTCCATAGCAACTATACCAGTTTACATGGCTACCAACAATGCATAAGGTTTCCAATTTCTTCACATCCTTATCTGTGTTGAGTGGCCTGTAGCTGGTGTATTGAATTAAGAATATATAAGTTATAACCTGCTGAAGGAGGAGGCACAAGCTACCCACAGTGGTTGGCAGGTAGATCCCTTGGCATCTGAGATCCCATTGTGGGGAAGTGAAAACCCTGGGATTGATTTGATTGAAAGCAGTTTCATTACACTCACACAAAGAAAGTAAAGTCACAAGACTTATGACTTACAGATCCCAGACACTGGTGGGGGCCAAGGCAGTGAGCCAGGGAAAGGCAGTTATCTCTTTACTGGGTTATGAGCAGCACGAGATAAAGAGCAGGGTAGAAAGCACCTATTACTTATAAGGTGGTTGGAGAATAGATCACTGACTTAACAGGCTCAACTTTAAGTGGGTCTTTAAAGGTGCCCATGAAAAACAAAGTGAGAACTTGTGGCAGGAGTTCTAAGTTCAAGTACTTACATAAATGTCCAGGCTCTAGCTGTGAGGAGGTTCTGTTACTGTAAATTGCCTAGGCAGCAACTCAAAATACCTGTTGTCTTCTTAACACTCAGCAATATGTGTTATTTTTCTTGGATAGTAACTATCCTAATGGGTTTGGAATAGTCTTACTTTGTTTTAATTTTTATCCATTCATCAGTTTATGACATTTGAAATGTTTCCACCTTTTGGCTATTAAGAATAACGCTGCAGTAAACATTCATGTACAAGTTTTTGTGTGGAAATGTTTTCATTTCTCATGTATAGATACCTAAGAGTTGAATTGCTGGGTCATATGGCAACTGTGTTTTACCTTTTGAGCAACTGCCAGACTGTTTTCCAAACTGGCTCCACCCTTTTAAATTTCATCAGCTATATATGAAGGTTCAGATTTAGCCATATCCTTGACAACACTTAACTGACTTTGATTATATCCATACTAGTGAGTGTGAAGTGATACCTCATAGTTGTAATTTGTATTCTCCCGATAACCAGTGATGTTGAACATCTTTTCATGTGTTTATTGACCATTTGTGTATCTTTGGAGAGTTGTCTATTCAGATCCTTTGCCCATTTTTAAGTGGGATATTTGTCCTTTATCATTGAGTTGTAAGAGCTGTATATTCTAGATACAAACCTCTTATTTGGTACATGATTTACAAACGTATTCTCCCTTTCTATGGATTGTCTTCACTTTCTGGATGGTATCCTCTGAAACACAAGGCTTTTAATTTAGGTGAAGTCTGATTTATCTTTTTTGTTTCTCAAGCTTTTGATGTAATATGTAAGAAGCTATATGTGTAAGATATCTATGTATCTAAGGTCATTTATACCTATATGTTCTTCTAGGAGTTTTGTGACTTTAGCTCTTATCAGGTATTTGTCTACTTGGAGTTATTTTTTGTATGTGTTGTGAAGTTAAAGGTCCAACTTCATTATTTTACATGAGGCTATCCTGTTGTCTCAATACCATTTGTTGAAAATTACTTCCACTGAGTTGTCTTGGCACAGTCAGTGAAAACCAGTTGGCCATAGGCACATAGTTTTATTTCTGTACTCTCAAGTCTATTCCATTGATGCCTGTCTTTATGCTAGTACTTCACTGCCTTAGTTACTGTTGTTTTGTAGTAAGTTTTAAAATAAAAAACTATGAGCTTCCAACCATGTTCTTTTTCAGGTTTTTTTTAAAAAAATATTCTGGGTCTTTTGCACTTTCATATGCATTTTAGGATCAATTTACTGTCTGTAAAAAGCCAGCTGTGTTTTGGTGGGAATTGTGTTGGATCTGTATATCAATTTGGGAAGTATTACTGTCCTAAAAGTGTTATGCCTTATCCATGAAGATGGAATTTTTTTCCATTTATTTAGATCTTTTTAAACTCCACCAATGTTACATAGTTTTCAGAATATAAGTTTTAAGTTTTTCTTTTGATGCTATTGTAAGTAGAATGGTTCTCTTAATTTCATTTTTGGATTTTTTCTTTCTTTGTCTTTTTTCTACCCCCCTCCCTATTCTTTAGATTGGGTACTTTGTATTCATTTATTCCTTGTATTATCTCCATTCAACTGTTAATCCTATTCAATGATTTTTAAAATACCAAATATTGTATTGTTATGTTCCAGACCTTTTTTTTAAAAATAGCTTTATTGGCATATTTTCACATTGTAGAATTCACCCTTTTCAAGTGTGTGATTCTATTTGGTTTTTTCATTTTTTTTTTCTCTGTGCAGGTATCCTATCTTTTCATCATTGTGACAGTATGTTATTTTTATTGAGCATTGTTACATCAGCTGATTAAAAATCTTGTCTTCTAACTCCAACATCTGAGTTTACTTCAGAGTTCATCTCCATTAATTGTTTTTTTCATTTGGGAATAGATTACATTTTCTTGATTCTTTCTTTATCAGTTAATTTTGGATTGTATCCCTGACATTATAAATGCTGTAATGTGAAGTCTGGATTCTTTTATAATCTTCCAAACAGTGGTTTTGTTTTGTTTTGTGGGGTTCTTTGCTTATTGTTTATTTTAGTAGGCATTTAATTGGATGAAACTCAAATTGCAAACTCTTTTGCAGTGGGCAACAGATCAAATCTCAATCCAGTTTTTAGCTTTAGGTGGACTGTTTGGAGTCTGCCATATGCATGGCAGTTCACAATTCAGCCAGATATTTGGCTGAGTTTATAAAGAATTTGGACCTTCTTTATGACTCTGTCCTGTTGGGGTTTCTCTGTCTACCCTCCAGTGGCTGTAGTGACCCCTGACTCTTTCCTGTAGTTCTTCAAGCCAGAAGGGCTTTTAATCCAACTTTTAGCTGTCCCACATATCATGGACTGGGTCTAATCTCAGGTTAAAAGCTGCAAAAATGGGAAACTTACCCAGTGCTGTGCCCTTCTAGGTATTGACAACTCCCCCAAGTATATGCCTACATTCATTTTCTTTTCACTGCCTTCAGGTAGTTGGGTATTTTCCCTACTTTGGCTAACATTTGTTATCTATGGAGGGCGAGTCCAATAAGAACTTTAATCAGCCATTGTTAGAAACAGATTGTTAGTGTTTGTAAAATGTTAACATTTTTTTCCAATAGGGTAGAACTGTCTCTTGCAACTTAGCTGTTTTAAGCCCACATTTTCATTTTTAAAACGATACCTTTTTATCTGTTTTCTACTGAAATATTAAGGATTTTACTTGGGGCTTTCAAAATCTGTCTGCTTTTATGCCTTTATTTTATTCTTTGTTACTTGGGCTCTTAAGTCTTTAGCATCTCAGAATACATAAAGGCCATGCTTGAATAAACATGTATTTGTTGAGATCTTTTTAGCCTTGTTAGATCTTTCAGAGAATGTACACTGTATAAAAAAGGATGGTTTTATTTCCATAGGAATGATCTCATTTTTTATATACATAACCAGTGACATGACAATAGGGTAATGGGGGAATCTCAGTGAAAACTAGTGTTTTGTTAACTAGAACACTATTTTCCAATTATGGAAATGGTTGGGTTAGGTAATAGAGTTTATGACATGTTTAGAGATTTTGAGTATGGTTTGTCTTATTGTCAGGAGGAGTCTTTTAACAGTAAAAATTAAAAATAAAATTTAGTTAAGTCTGATCTCCCTGTATTAGAAAACTTAATTGATTTGGAGGAAATGTGTTTTTTCTGTTTAAAGGTGAAGTGGATCCTAAAGAGAGGATAGCACGCCAACGAAAACTGTTACAGAAAAAACTTGGTCTTAACATGGGAGAAGCCATTGGAATGAGTACTGAAGAACTCTTCAATGATGAAGATTTGGATTACACCCCAACTTCAGCAGCCCTTGTAAACAAACAACCTGTATGAGGGGTTTCCTTCATTTTGCTATGCAATTACAATTTTTAATAATGCTGTTCTGAATTGCTGCCTATTGCATCATAATTTAGTGTCTTTATAAATTGGTTTTCTGGTGACAGATTCTAAAGAGACAAAAGTTCAGCCTACCTTGTAGACACTGGACCGACTGCACTGTGGTGAACCTTTTAGGAACTACTGGTATTGAGTTAGCCAAGTTGCACTAATTGACCTTTCTTTGTTCTTTAGTGAAAGGAAAAAAAAATGTTTGAGAGAGTGGGAGTTAGTAAGGTTATAGCATAGTCAGATATGGTACTAGAAACCTTTAGGGCTATGGTTCGTTCTTTTATTTGAAAAAGTAACAAACATGATAAAAAGATAAATTTCAAACAGTTCAAAAGGGTATACAATATGAAGTGAAATAAGTTTCTTTCCAATAATTGGTGTACACCCATGTCCCCATACCCCGCAGGCAACCCTTTTTAAGTTGTGTATCCTTCCTGAAATTTCCTATGTATATACAGACCATTTAAGCCATGTTTACCTTTTCCTACTTCATATCACTGAATATGACAGTATGTACAAATTGATTACCACATTCTTTTTTGATAGCTTTATGCTATTTTCTTGTATGGCTGTACCATAACTTTGCTCTGTAGTCCTCCCTTTTCTCTGTTCTTCCAGTTCCCCTTGTTTGCCTGTGTGCTTTTTTTTTTAAGCTCCATGAAAGTTATGGCTCTCTTCTCAGAAAAACTCACACACAAATGAAATACTGTCTTTCAAGGGGATCAGTACTCTTTCCTTTTGCCCCTGCAGTACTCTTTTAGGGTTCCTTGGGCCCTGTTAAAAATTCCTGCTTTACAGTTTTGTTTTTTGTTTTTTATGGATTTACTTTCTCCCAGAAGATTCACTGAAGTAGATTTCAACTACTCTCAGAACTAGGGATGGGGTGACCTTATAGTTATTAGCTTATCATGCTTTTATTTTTATTTATTTATTTATTTATTTTTAAATTTCTTATTAAGTTATGATTGATACACTCTTATGAAGGTTTCACATGAAAAGACAATGTGGTTACTACATTTACCCATATTATCAAGTCCCCACCCATACCCCAATGCAGTCACTGTCCATCAGTGCAGCAAGATGCCACAGATTCACTATGTGCCTTCTCTGTGCTACACTGTTCTCCCCGTGATCCCCTACACCATGTGTACTAAACATAATACCCCTCAATCCCCTTTGCTTTGCAGTTTTGAAACCTTTTTCTTCTCTTTCCCCTGGCCTTTCCCTTTGCTTAAGTAGAGAATGACTCTATTTATCTTTATACTAGTTGTCCTCTAAGCCATTAGAATTTGTAAACTCTATTTTTTAGGGTTAGGTTAGTGTGTAATGAATTTTCAGATAAGAAAAAAAAAAAGGAACATCCTAGAGGAGAAAAGAAGAGTATGGACAGAAAATATGACAACCAGGAAGGAGTAGAAAGAAATGGGGTATAAAGGGAAGCATAAGATAAAAATAAAAAATAAAGTAGAATAAAGGAGAACAAAAATGTAGTAAAGTGATCATAGTGTGATAATGGGGCATGGTGTAAGAAAATAAAAGGGTGCGTAGATTAGAGAAAATAGGCTGTAGACAGAATAGTTGGATATGGATAGGCAGCACAGACAGATTGGGGTTTGTAGGATCCTTTGGAAGGATTTGCTTAAGGGTACTTGTTGCCGTAGCCTTATCACTGCTGCACTGCTTTATATATGTTCCACTGGTCCCTGAACCAAGACTGTAGACTGTAGTAAGGTGTCCACACCAGTGACCCTAGTTGTTTGCAGAAATGTAAATTTCAGTTGAATCTTAAACAGTTAAGGGCAGAAACGATTTTTAGGCTTGGGTTCAAAGAATTTCTGTCTCACAGCATTTATGTTTCCCATGAATGGAAAAGACAGCAAAAACAGTAGGCAGTGAATGCTTAAGAGGAAGGAGCAATAGAGGCTACGTTGACTATAGAACACTAGAGCAATAATTTGTAGCCATAATGTTATTTTTTTCAGAAAATGCTAATTATCAATTTATTTTATTGACATTCTTTATTCTTACAACCTTTGGATGGTATTACGGTTATTTTGATGGTCTCACCCCTTAAGAGCCCTCTTTGTAGGTTAGAATCATACATTTGTGCCACATCTGTGACATAATAAAAATTAAGAAACACATGAACAGGTGTTGGGAATTGGAAAAATAGGAAGAAGAAGAGAGTAAAATTATGGTATAGCTGTACAACAGAATAATATGAAGCTGTCAAAGAAGAATGTGATCACTTTGTATATAGTGAAATTTATAGATGTATACCTCTTCTGAGGCAGAGACTATGGGTATTTATTTTAACTTCAGAAGTTCAGATTCAACATTCTTTTATTCTTTTAGACTCTCCAGGCAGCTGAATTGATTGACTCAGAATTTCGAGCAGGAATGAGCAGTAGACAAAAGAACAAAGCTAAAAGAATGGCCAAGTTATTTGCAAAACAGAGATCCAGGGATGCAGTGGAAACTAATGAGAAGAGGTAGTAATTTTTTCTGCTTATTCATTTAAAACAGTAATGCTTTGTAACTGAAATCTGTGTCTGCTTGATCTCTAAAAGCGTTTTGCTGATGTCTGTAACTGTGGAGTACCATTTGGATTGTCTTTCTCAGTTGTCAGTATTTACTGTTACTAGGGACTAGGACAGCTTCCCTAGAACAATCCAAGTATGCATATTTTTTAAAAAAATCTTACTAAATTACTAAGAGGCAGCCTGATGAGTCTATATGATTGCATTCTAAAATAAAACAAATACCTTCTTTGCAACAACATGGATGGAGCTAGAGAGTATTATGCTCAGTGAAATAAGCCAGGCAGAGAAAGACAAGTATCAAATAATTTCACTTATCTGTGGAGCATAAAAAGAAAGCAAAAACTGAAGGAACAAAACAGCAGCAGACTCACAGAACCCAAGAATGGACTATCAGTTACCAAAGGGAAAGGGACTGGGGAGGGTGGGTGGGAAGGGAGGGAGAAGGGGGAATAAGGGGCATTACGATTAGCACACATAACGTGGGGGGAGGTGCACGGGGAAGGCAGTATAGCACAGAGAAGACAAGTAGTGACTCTATAGCATCTTACTACACTGATAGACAGTGACTGTAATGGGATATGTGGTGAGGACTTGATAATGGGGGAATCTAGTAACCACAGTGTTGCCCATATGATTTTATATTAATGATACCAAGATAAAAAGATTAAAAAAAAACTCAAAAAAAATTCTTACTAATTATGTGCTCTGAATGAGGGCTGACGATCTTCCAAGTGGAGCACATTTCAGGCAGAGAGAACAAATGTAAATGCCTTAATCATGGACTGTTTAAGAAACAGAAAGAAGGGCAGTGGGCTGGGATGCGTGGACAGAAGTGAGAGTACAGAGTGAAGTCAGAGTTGGTTTAAGGGTCACAAATTAATACTGCATTACTGCATTAGTAAAGTGAGAAATGTCATGGTATTACACCATCTGTTCCCTAGGATGGGGACTAAACCAACTAATGGGTAATAATCCAGGCATGTCTGCCTAGTCCTGTTGTAGGAAAGAACTCTGGTAGGTATAATCGCTGCCCTCACTTTCTTAACGAGTTAATAAAGGTTGTATCTATGTATAGCTTGGAGCAGCATTTCTCAAAGGGTGGTTCGAAACAAAACCCCCTTTTGAAGCAGTTTAAGGGGCATGTTAAAATGTAGATTCTTGGGCCCTACCCAGCTCTATTAGATCAGAATCTTTAGTGTTTACTTGGGTAAATGATAAATTGAACACATGAAAGCCTATGAAAATAAAGTTTTGTTGCAGATGACAGAACCTTTTGTTCTTCCCATTCGAAGTATTTACAGTGTTTATTTTAAAGCAAGGCACAAAGGATAAATAATAAACACTTATTTGGTATGAATTTTTACTTGGAGGTGTCTTTTATTTTAGTATTTTTTAAATTAAAGTATCATTGATATACAATCTTATGATGGTTTCACATGAACAACATAGTGGTTAAACATTCACCCATGTTATCAAGTCCTCTCCCCCTCCACTGCTGCCACTGTCAACAAGGTTAAGATGTTATAGAGTCATTAATTGTATTGTCTGTGCTGTACTACCATCCCAGTGACCTACCTATATTGTGATTGTGAATTATAGTGCTCCTTAATCTCCTTCTCCCTCTCACCCACCCTCCCCAAACCCTCCCCTTTGGTAACCACTAGTCTATTCTCAGGTGTCTGCAAGTCTATGCTATTTTGTTCTTTCTGTTTTGCTTTATTTTTCTATGGAGGTGTCTTTTTTAAGTATAAAATCTTAATTGAACTTGTTAGCTACCGAGTTTTTTAAGTTAACAGTTATATATATATTAATATAATAATGTCTACTACTATAGGGTCATATAGTAACCTAGTAAGTGTTTCTACTTGTTTTTTTCATACAAGCACTTTTACCCAAAGATTTGAATATTGGAAATAATAGACCTTATTTTTCAGAGTTATGATTCATTCGTTGCACAAATGCTTACTGAATAACTTCTTTGTTCCAGATATGGTTCTAGGCCCTCAAGATACAGTAAATTAAGTAGACAAGAGTTCTGCCTTCCTAGAGCTTACATTCTAGAGAAAAAGATAGATAATGAACATGTATCTTTAAACAAGTAAATAGAGAGAGAGAGAGAGAGAGTGTGTGTGTGTGTGTGTGTGAGTGTGTGATGTTGATAAGGGTTAAGAAAAAAGAGATAAAGCCAAGGAAGTAACATGTGAAATATTTTGTAGAGAGTTTGAAATTTTAGATAGGATGGTCAGGGAGAGACAAAGGTGACTTTGGTAAAACTCTGAAAGAAGTGAGGATGCTAACACTGAATATTTGGAAAAGACATGCCAAATAGAAGGAATAGCAGAGGCAAATGTTTGTAGAAACATGACTAACAAGTTCAAGGACAGTAAGGTGTCCAACCAATGTGGCTAGATTGGAGAGAATTAGGGGAAGAATAATAGGCAGTGAGATTAGGGAGGCTCAGATTTCTTTCCTCACCTTCCAGAAAAAAATGGTTGACTAAATAAATTACACTATTAATTTATTTTATTAATTATTAGGATATTTATATATTATAAAGAGGAGAGTATATTTATAGAAAATAATGCTGTAAATACCTTAATGTCCTTACTGTTGATTTGTGTTAATACTGAATAAAGTTATTTTACTTGTCTTCTTTGTAATATTTTGTTACTAGACTAGCATTAGTAAGATTATAGTGTATTACTTAGCATATTGGTTTTTCTTCAGGGTACAAAATCCTGAAAAAGTCAGGCTGGGCCAGATTTAGGTTGTTAGAGCAAGGAAGTTTTAAAATAAAAAGGAGAGGATTTGGTTATAGAGAAGAAAGAAAAAAGACTTGTTAAATTTTAGATCCAGTTTGAAAGCAAGAATTCACTGACATATTTCACATTCATCAGTAAGAGTATTGAGATATATTTGGCTTAAAAAATTTTAAGTAGTTAGTCTTAGTTATTTGATACATGAAATTTTAAGTAGAACATAATTAAAAGAATATGGCAAAACATTTGTCCAGATGATGTAGTCTCTTATATTCATTATGGTTCACATTATCCTTTATTAACTTTCTTAAATAGTGACTTTTATTTTTTAGTAATGACAGCACTGATGGGGAACCAGAAGAAAAGAGACGAAAAATAGCAAATGTCGTTATTAATCAGTCTGCAAATGATTCCAAAGTCTTGATTGATAATATTCCAGACAGTTCTTCCTTAATTGAAGAGGTACTTTTGAAATGCCCTGAGTGTCTTTTCAAATTATTTATAATTTTTTCATACTAATGTATCAACAGATAGTATTTAATAATCTGTCAATTGAGAGAAATTTTATTATTGTAAATCTTAAAAGTTAACACAGTAAAATTTTTATTTTATTTTCAAAAGCCTATTATTATATTACTTATATTATTAGCATAAAATAGACCTTTTGAAATAGTAGTAATTCTGTTTTTCTTATTCAGACAAATGAATGGCCTTTGGAAAGCTTTTGTGAAGAACTTTGCAATGACCTTTTTAATCCCTCTTGGGAGGTAAGATTTCTTCATTACAATTTCTTCCAGCACTATTTCTTTGCTAATGAAGGGAACCATGTCAGACATACTTCTGTTAGACATACTCTGTTTTGTCAGGATCACTATTCTTCCCCTTGTGTCCTTCTCAGGACCACTGGTCAAGGTATTTCATATCACTCACCTTCTATGTAGAAAACTTAAGATGATTTTAACATTTCATACCCTTTTTGTAATATTTCTTTATGACTTGTTCTTTTTATTCTTTTAGCTATGATATAAAGATTTGCATATCTCTCCCAGACAGTAAAATTTCCTTTGGAAGTGGACAGTTTTAATTAAGAGCAGTAGTTTCCAAACCAGCTATTTAGCCCCAGAAATATTTCTTCAAAGAAAATCTTTAACAGGTCCCAATATATAAAATAGGTGAAAGTGAAGTTCTGGTTGAAGTTTAGAGTTTGTGGTCTCAAACCACTCTGTACCACTCAGTTGGCTTCTGGGTAATTCTGTTTCGGAATACTTTTTAGCAGCCTTTCTGCCCCTTGATACACTTCTTTTAAAGCTGTTCAGGTCTTAACTCAAATGGCATCTTAAATTAGTGGGTGCAGTGTCAGTGGCCCATTCTTCCCTTCCAGGTGACACTGCAGAAGGCTACAGGGCTAAAGTGAATATAACATTAGTCATGAGATATTTTATTTGACTTGTCTTCCTTTGACACTTAACACTTGAAGTTTTTGAACTTAGTTTTGATGCATATATTTGATGTAAAATATTGGTGTTGAGGCTATAAAGAACAATATGATTCTTTCCTGTCCTTTGCTGTGGATAATGCTGAATACAGGTAGAAAGGGTAGAGGAGTGACAGCCAAGTGGATTAATATCTTAGAAGGATTTTAGCATAGCTATTTTCATAGCTTGAGTTTAAAAAATTTCACATAATGAAAATTGTGAAATTAATATATGTAATTCTTGTTGGATAGTAGAGGAAGAACACATTACTGTGCCATGCCACATACTTCATTCTTTCTTAAAAGCCCAATATCCCTTTCTCATCTTGGAGAAAAGTTAAATTCAGTTTCTTAAGTATTTTATGGCTAACATTTGCTTCTTGGTTCTTTTTAGGTTCGACATGGTGCAGGCACTGGACTTAGGGAAATCCTTAAAGCTCATGGGAAAAGTGGTGGTAAAATGGGAGACAGCACTTTAGAAGAAGTAAGTGTAGTAAGACAGTAATTATTACCAAGTTTTAGTAATTGGCTTCTTTTTCCAAGACAGGATACTAAAGGAGCATGTGCCATAAACCAGAAATGAGAAGTAAATAATGAAATATATGGAAAGATGAATATGAGGAACAAAGTAAAAAGGTTAGGAAGAAGTCTATAGGCCGAGGAAGAATGAGTTGAGGGAAAAGATAGGTTCAGGAACATTGCATAGAAAAATATATAGAAGCACAAGTACTTGAGCAAAATATAATGGATTGTAAAGTAAGATGAATAAGAGGGTAGTTTTGATCTCAGTGGCCAGTATGCTTGGTGTGGCATGGAGACATTGGTAATAGGATAGATAATAGATAAATGGCAGATATAATTAATATCAGAGAAACCTTAAGGTGTTTATTAATTTCTCTTGGAATGCAAATAACATAATAGAATTCACGAATTTTTGATATTTTGGCATAGTATATTTAAATTTAATCAGCAAAAAGATGTAGTTAATATTAAAGATAGTAGTTGGAGCTATTCTATATATTGGTTGTTGTTCCTACAGCTAAAATAATCTGTCTCAATAATTTAGTTTTGATTTTAAACCTAATATGTTTCTCCATCCCCCAGTACAAAGTGTAACATTTGTCTGCTATTAAAAAATGATTGTCTTAACAGATGATTCACCAGCATCAGGAGTGGTTGGAAGACTTGGTTATCAGACTTCTTTGTGTTTTTGCCTTAGACAGATTTGGAGACTTTGTTTCTGATGAAGTAGGTATCACATAAGGGAGGCTTTACCCAATGAAATTCCAAATTCAACACAATAAGTCTTTTGCAGATATGCTGTTTTCTTCTTCTCTCATTTATAGGTCGTGGCACCAGTTCGTGAAACTTGTGCTCAAACATTAGGTGTCGTGTTAAAACACATGAATGAAACAGGAGTTCATAAGACTGTGGATGTGCTGCTTAAGTTACTTACACAAGAACAATGGGAAGTTAGACATGGCGGTCTGCTAGGAATAAAATATGCTTTGGCAGTTCGTCAGGTAAATGCTTCAGATTTTGAAAAACATGGGAGAGTTTTTTCCCCTCTTAGTTTATTTTCATTAATTATATAAAATGGCTCTAGATTCTTAGTGTTACACTTAAGCCAGTCCTTCAAGATTTGCCTTCTTGTGGCAGCATCGTATAGAGCTAGGTATTGATAATAAGAATTTAAGAACAAATCAAAAGATGGTTAGTTACATTTGAAAACGTGTTCCTGTTTCATAACAAGACCAGTTCTATGATTCCTAGTCTATCATCACAGGGGTAGCCTTTGGGGGCTGTCTCTATTAGGGGAAATTGAGAACGTAGTAGATTGGAATAATGGGAAACAGGAAGGGTTGGCTTTCCTTTCCCTCTTCTTTCATAGTCCCTTTGGTTGTCAGTAGTGTTCAATGAGAAATAGAAGGTTCTAGTGCAGGTGTGTGTGTGTGTGTGTGCGCGTTCCCAAGGAATTCGTCGTCTTATCATGAAAACATGTTTTGATGTTTTAGGTCGCTCTGAGTAATAAAGTACTGGATACTGTTGTAGTCTTTTTTGAATGGAATTAGTTACAGTCTTGAATTGATGTTATTTTTCTTTTCTGTTTCTGTGATTCTTTTTTAAAAAATAAAGATTAGAATTTATGTTTTCATATGGAAAATATAATTTTAAATGTTCAAGCACAATAATTGTACTACAGAAAATTAATCTGTTTTGACATGTTGTTTTACAGGATGTAATTAATACATTATTGCCTAAAGTTTTAAGTAGAATAATTGAAGGACTCCAGGATCTTGATGATGATGTCAGAGCTGTCGCTGCAGCATCATTAGTACCTGTGGTAGAAAGCCTTGTATATCTTCAGACACAAAAAGTAAATTAAACATTTTTCTCATTTTCTTCTTTTTACATCTTGGGTGGTAGAGTATTAAGAGAAACACTGAGTACTTTTTTCTCCTTCATCCTCCATTTTTCTTATGACAGAGCCCTCTGATATATGTGATCTCAATTACATATTTTCCTTGGGAAGAATGAGTTTCTTCTGTTAATCTGCTTCCTTTTTATGTACAGAATATGAGAACTTCCTTGAGAAGAAAGCAACAATTTATTCTTTATTTTACTCCTGGTTTTTACCATAAGGCATTTTTGTTTGTTTTCATTTCGGTTTTTGGCTTTGGTTTTTAAGTCTGGTCTTACATTTTGAAGTGCCTCTTTTAAGGTTTATCTGACTTGCTTTTGTATTATCAAAACCAAAGCATATATTTGGGAGTGCAGCAAGGAGTGTTTTAAAAGCTCAAATGCTAAATTTGTCCTTTTATGATTAGTATAGTTTTAAATATATTAAAACTACATAGAGGGTCATGTCTTGTGTGTTTACACTGTACTGTTTTCAAAGTTTAGCTTTTACGTAAAACAGAGTGTTGGCTGTCTTATTTCCTGAATCCTCCCTCTCATTATGAGCCTGGTTAGGGATAGAAATGCTGAAGGTAAAGTTCATTGGCATTAAAAAGAGGGGTAGAGAATTATTAAGGCCAATAATGTCTCCTTAACTTTGCTCAAAATGGGCACTATGCAGGGTCATTGGGATTGTATATGTTGCTGAATCAGTAGTAACTCCTGGGATAAAATTTGGCATGGCTTGTGAATATTTTGGGTAAAGTTAACTGTTTTCTTGGTAACTCATCTTATAGGTACCCTTCATTGTAAATACGTTGTGGGATGCTCTTCTGGAACTAGATGATTTAACAGCTTCAACAAATAGTATTATGACTCTTCTTTCTTCTTTGTTAACTTATCCTCAAGTCCAGCAATGCAGGTAATTGTTTATAGTTAGTGGAGTTAAGTGTTTACATACATTTCTAGATAATAAAAATATAATAATAGTTTAGTACCTTTAAGAACAACTGTAAGTTGAGATGCCAAAGACTACTCCTTCAGAAGGCTTTTTCTTCTTTACTCTCTAGCCACCAGTGCATTTGGGGCAGGAATTTAAAAAGGACGTATTCTTTACCTTTAGGTTACTTTGGTTATGTAATTCTTCACCTTGTTCATCTTATAATGGCTAACTTTAGAAGTATAATCATTGCATATTATTTTTTACCTCTAATCCCAGAATATAGAATTTTAGCCTTATTTAATGACAGTTAATAGAATTATTATTGACTATCAACATTACATTTCAAAAATTTGCTCCTCTGTGAACCTTTTCCTTGTAGTATTCATTTCAGCTGTTGCTCTTGATTTCAATAATGACTCATCAGGAAGGGAGTATTTAGTAATATAATGTCCAAAGGCAGAGATTTCCTATCCTGATTTCCTAGACCTCTTGAAAAGATGCTCAGCTAATTAATGTATTTCCTACCTTTAAGACTGGCTCCTGAATATTATTTTTTCTATTAATAGTATCCTGGGAGATAGAAAAGAAAAAATTCATATGCAACTTTAAAATTCACAGATGAGAAAATTAATTACTGTTCTTAGCGTAGTGAGGGTGTTCAGTGAATGTTCATGTAATTATGATTATAAGTGATTTCTGGCTCTGTGAGTGTCTGTTTCCAGTGAAAATCATAGATGTATGGAAAATATTTCAAATAATACTAACTTACTGGTCATTCTTCAATGTTAAATTTAGGCCAATAGGACAGCCTACAAGTTGGAATAGCAAAATAAGTGTCTATGAAAGCAAACAGAGCGAAAAATTGAAGTGGCAGTACATATATGGAATTTCCAAATTATCAGATGCTTTCATTAGTAATGAAAGCTATAGGGATTAAATGAATTGATCTATGTAAAAGCCCTTCTAAAGCTGCAAAAGTGCAAGAGTTTTTAATTACCCTAAATCAGGGGTTGGCAAACTTGTTCTGTAAAGGCCCAGCCAGTGATATTTTTAAAGGCTTTGTGGGCCATATAATGTCTGTCAAAACTATTTAGCTGAGCCACTGTAGCACAAAAGCAGCCATAGATAATACATAAAGGGAACATGTACCAGTGTTCCAATAAAGTTTTATTTAAAAAACCGGGTGGACTAGATTTGGACTATATGCCTTAGTTTGTTGACACCTACCCTAAATAAAGGACTTAGGACTTCTTAAAAAAAATAATCAAGTAGACAATTTCAGGAAAGCTAAATAAGGCAGGAAGTTGAGAGAATGTATTTAAAATTCTATTGATTCAATGTGAAATAACTTAATTTTTGATTTTTTTTTTTCAAAATCGCCTTATTAGAAAATTTGCTTCATTTATTTGTGATATTTGATAGAATCTTTCCAAGTTATGTAAGAAGAAATGCAGCATGTCATTTGGAGCATGAACAGTTATATTGTTAACAAGACCACGTTATAGTGCTTTTACATCTTTTGGGTCTGTTTTATGTCTGTGTTTGCATGTGTTTAAGTTAAAATTTTATGTAAAATAAGTGTACTAAATGTGTAAGTGAATGCAAGAAGTGATGTTCATACAAACCTGCAAGTAATGAAAATTGTGTTAGAGAATAATCTTCCTGAGAGGAACCATGAAAGAATATATAGTTGTACTGAAGTAGTCTTTTTTATTCATTCCTTTTTCTACAGAGATACATAGTTAAAATGCTACTTGTAAATAATTTCCTAATTCCAGGTAACTAATATATGATCCATCAATGGGACAGGAATCCTATTGTCCAAATTTTTAACCTAGATGTATCTTTATTTGCTTCCAAATTTGAAAATATAATCTGTGAGAAGGAAGATACTGAGTTTTTAACCCAATGCTAAATCAGGATAACAAATTTCAAAGATGCCTCCATACGACCTCATACTCATTTGATGTGTATCAGAGATAGCCCCAAACGCAGATGTAAGTTTTGTGCATCTAATCATTTCCCATTCAGGTTAGCAATAGGAAAGGAGTAAGGATTAGCAATCCTGGTTTTGTATAAGCTGTCAGCTAAGATACCATTTTCCTGAGAAAACAGATTGAGAAAAAGGGCAGTTATATTAGAAAGTTGTAATTTGGTAAACGTAATTTATGGCATTAGTGCCATGGAAGAACCTAATGTAAATGTCTCTGCTCTTTATGACTGCATCTGCTCTGGCTGTTCTAGTGAATGAGGGTGTTTTGAATGTTCATATAAAAATTATCTTTTTAGAATTTATTCATCAAAAAAGACACTGGGTCCACAAGGAAGTGATATTTAGATAATGTATCAACATAGTTTCAACTGAGAATAAGTAACATTAATTTGTGTCTTCTTTATTAGTATTCAACAGTCACTCACAGTTTTAGTTCCACGTGTCTGGCCATTTTTGCATCACACTATATCATCAGTTCGAAGAGCAGCATTGGAAACTCTGTTTACGTTATTATCAACACAGGACCAGGTAAGAACTAATAACTGTATAGTAACCTTGAAGTTTGTATAAATTACCTTTATAAAACAGATCTGATCACCAGGTTACCCTTACTACATATCCAAAGATCAGGAGAATGCTGGGCTTTGTAGAAGTGGTATGGTGACCATGTAGACACATGAGAATATATGAGAATATAATCACCATGAGGGCAGAAATATATATACATTATGTTTACTAGGCTCCCCCCCTTCACCAAGTCCCCCCCACAAACCCCATTACAGTCACTCTCCATCAGCATAGTAAGAGAGGGCAGAAATATTTTAATATTTTGCTCTAGGTCATTTTCCCAGCACTTGGAATAGTGTTTGACACACTGGAGGCTTTCAGTAAATATTTGTTGAATGAAAGATTAATAGTCCTTTCCTGTTGGAGACCTATTATTCAGTCTTTGCTATGTCTATGGTTGATAGTTGGATGGTTGGTAGAACCCGTCCCAGGTTAGAAGACTGCATTTGAAGTTTTGCAGTATGACTCCTACTAAAGACTGATAATGAAATTGCTAGACACTGCCTCTGCTTAAGGATTACTCAATCTTAAGTGCATGCTATTTTCAAGGATAATATACTGCAGGAGTCATACATTGAAATGTCTGCAGAGTCATTCAGGTAATAATCAGTGTATGAATGGAATCTGATGAGCTGAGGAGTCTTTACCCTGTCCTTAAAAGGCTTCCTGTTTTTTAAGTAACTATAGATCAAACAAAACAGTGGAATTTAGGTAAATATAAGGAATCCATATTTCTACTGTACTGTTGTTTATAGGTACTACAGATGAGCCAATGATCTTTAAAAAGCAGTGGTTTATATTTTTAGACAACAGATTTTAGTATGGATAAATGTCTGTGTTCACTAATTATTCATTTCTGTGTGAACTATGAATTTTCCATGTAGACTTGCTTTAATCTGCAGCATGGTACTGTGTTGTATTTCTGTGAACCAACATCTGTAAATTTTGTTTTGCATTATTGTTTTGTTTTTGTCTAATCAGAATCTTCTGAGGAGAAACTATCAAGTTTATTCTATAATCCTCAGTTGATCAGGCATGGGCTGATTTGACAAAAATGGCATGGGTTCTGAATTTTCACTTCATTTTTGTTCTAGTTTTATGGTTTTGCCTAAATGTTTTTGATAAAAGTATTCTTAAATTCAGTTTGGATAGACGTCTCGAAGTTATGTAATTTCTTCCCTGCAAAAAAAAAACATTTTTTTAAATAGACTTTACTTTTAAGAGCAGTTATAGATTTACAGAAAAACTGAGAGAAAAGTATGTAGTTCTCCTGTATTCTGTTAGCGCTCCCTCCTTTCCACACAGTTTTCCCTTTAGTTAACATCTTGGCATTTTAGTGTAGTACATCCATTACATTTGATGAACCAATATTGATATATTATTATTAACTGAACTCCATGGTTTGCATTAGGGTTCACCCTTTGTATTTAGAGTCCCATGGATTTTGACAAATGTACAATGATAGGTGCCCACCATTACAGTATTATACAAAAGTTTCACTGTCCTGCAAAATGCCAGTGTTCCATTTATTCACCTCTCTTTTCTTCCCTCCAAGCCCTTAGCAACCAGTGATATTTTTATTGTCTGATAGTTTTGCCTTTTCCAGAATGTCTTATTGTTGGAGTCATATAGTATGTAGACTTCAGATTTCTGTCTTTCATTTAGCAATACAAAATTAAGGTTTCTTTGTCTTGGTGGCTTGATAGCTCATATCTTTTTATCACTGAATAGTATTCCATTGTATGGCTATACCACAATTCATTTATTCGCCTATTGAATAATATCTTAGTTTCTTCCTGTTTTAGCAATTATAAATAAGGTTTGAAACATCATGTGCAGGTTTTTGTATGGGCGTAAGTTCTCAGTGCACTTGAGTAAATACCAAAGAGCACAGTTGGTAAATCATATGGTAAGAGTATGTTTAATTTTAGAAGAAACTGTCTTCTGAAGTGCCTGTACCATTTTGCATTTCCACCAGCAGTGAGTGAGTTCCTCTTGTTCCACGTCCTTGTCAGCATTTGATGTTGTCAGTGTTGTGGATTTTAGCCTTTCTAATAAGCATGTAATGTTACTTGTTTTAATTTGCAATTCCCTAATTTATGATGATGAGCCTCTCATCTGCCTATTTGTCATCTTTATCTATTCTTTCGTGAAGTGTCTGTCCCCCTATTTCTGTATTTCTTCCTACTATGACCTGGAGTCAAGAAAATTTCCCAATACCATCCATGTATCCCAAGTGTAGCAATGTTGTGTCTATTTTTTTTTCCATTTCTCTGCCCATAAGCCCTAGATTTATTTAGTATGAATCTAACCCTTAACTAAATATTTAGTTGAATGAAATCATTAAAGAAATAAAATTCTTTCCCTATCCTCTTGAAAAAAAATTTTTTTTTATTAAGGTATCATTGAAATTCAATCTTATGCTCAGGTTTCACATGAGCAACATTGTGGTTACTACATTCCCCCCTATTATCAAGTCCCTACCACATACGCCATTACAGTCACTGTCCATCAGCATAGTAAGATGCTATAGAGTCACTACTTGTCTATTATACTTCTTTCCCCATGCCCCCCCTATATTATGTGTGCTAATCATAATACCCCTTAATCCCCTTATACCTCCCTTCCAGTCACCCTCCCCAACACCTTTCCTTTTTGTGACCGCTAATCCATTATTGTGTTCTGTGAGTCTGCTGCTGTTTTGTTTCTTCAGTTTTTGCTTTATTGTTATACTCCACAGATGAGTGAAAACATTTGATACTTATCTTTCTCTGCCTGGCTTATTTCACTGAGCATAATACCCTCAAGTTCTATCCATGTTGTTGCAAATGGTAGGATTTGTTTTCTTCTTATGGCTGAATAATATTCCATTGTGGTAGGATTTGTTTTCTTCTTATGGCTGAATAATATTCCATTGTGTATATGTACCACATCTTCTTTATCCATTCATCTATTGATGGACATTTACCTTGCTTGGCTCTTGTAAATAGTGCTGCAGTAAACATGGGGGTGCATATTTCTTCTTGAATCTGTGCTCTTGTTTTCTTTGAGTAAATTCCTAGGAGTGGAATTCCTGGGTCAAATGGTATTTCTATTTTTAGTTTTGGAGAAACTTCCATATTGCTTTCCACGGTGGTTGAACTAATTTACATTCCCACCAACAGTGTAGGAGGGTTCCCTTTTCCCCACATCCTTGCCAGCATTTGTTGTTGCTTGTCTTTTGGATGTTGGCCATCCTAACTGGTATGAGGTGATATCTCATTGTGGTTTTAATTTGCATTTCTCTGATGATTAGCGATGTTAAGCATCCTTTCATGTGCCTGTTGACCATCTGAATTTCTTCCTTCGGTAAGTGTCTGTTCAGATCCTCTGCCCATCTTTTAATTGAATTATTTGCTTTTTGGGTTGTTGAGGCATGGGAGTTCTTTATGTATTTTGGATGTTAACCCCTTATCAGATATGTCATTTATGACTATATTCTCCCGTACTGTGGGATGCTTTTTTGTTCTACTGATGGTATCCTTTGCTGTACAGAAGCTTTTCAGTTTGATATAGTTCCACTTTCCCTTGCCTGAGATGTTGTGTTCAGGAAGAAGTTTCTCATGTTCATATTCAAGAGCTTTTGCCTATGTTTTCTTCTAAGAGTTTTATGGTTTCCTGACTTACATTCAGGTCTTTGATCCATTTCAAGTTTACTTCTCTGTATGGAGTTAGACATTAATCCAATTTCATTCTCTCACATATAGCTGTCCAGTTTTGCCAACACCAGTTGTAGAAGAGGCTGTCATTTCCCCATTGTATATCCATGGCTCCTTTATCGTACATTAATTGGCCATATATGTGTGGGTTTATATCTGGGCTCTCTATTCTGTTCCACTGATCTATGGGTCTGTTCTTTTGCAGTACCAAATTGTTTTGATTACTGTGGCTTTGTAGTAGAGCTTGAAATTGGAGAGCATAATACTCCCAGCTTTATTCTTCCTTCTCAGGATTGCTTTGGCTATTTGGGTCTTTTGTGTTCCATATGAATTTTCAAACTCTTTGTTCTAGTTTCTTGAAGAATGCTATTGGTATTTTTATAAGGATTGCATTGAATCTGTAGATTGCTTTAGGCGGAATGGACATTTTGACAATATTAATTCTTCCTATCCATGAGCACGGGATATATTGCCATTCATTGGTGTCTTCTTTAATTTCTCTTATGAGTGTTTTGTAGTTTTCAGGGTGTAGGTCTTTCACCTCTTTGGTTAGGTTTATTCCTAGGTATTTTACTCTTCTTGATTCAATTGTGAATGGAATTGTTTTCCTGATGTCTCTTTTGGCTAGTTCATCATTAGTATGTAGGAATGCAGCAGATTTCTGTTTTATTAATTTTGTATCCTTCAACTTTGCTGAATTCAGTTATTAGTTCTGCTGGTTTTGGAGTGGATTCTTTAGGGTTTTTTATGTACCATATCATGTCATCTGCAAACAGGGATAGTTTTAACTTCTTCCTTACCAATCTGGATGCTTTTATTTCTTTGTGTTGTCTGATTGCCGTGTCTAAGACCTCCAGTACTATGTTGAATAAAAGTAGGGAGAGTGGTAGCCTTGTCTTGTTCCTGATCTTAGAGGAAAAGCTTTTAGCTTTTTGTTAAATATGATGTTGGCTGTGGTTTTGTCATATATGGCCTTTATTATGTTGAGGTTCTTGCCCTCAGTACCAATTTTGTTGAGAGTTTTTATCATGAATGGATGTTAAATTTTGTCAAAAGCTTTTTCAGCATCTATGGAGATGATCATGTGGTTTTTGTCCTTTTTGATGATGTGGTGGATGATGTTGATGGATTTTCAAATATTGTACCATCCTTGCATTACTGGGAATAAACCCCACTTGATTCTTTTGGGTGATCTTTTTTTTTTTTTGAGAGGGCATCTCTCATATTTATTGACCAAATGGTTGATAACAACAATAAAATTCT